CTGTCGGCCACCTGCTGTTGTCAGTTCCGTAAATCCAGCGTGGCTCCTCTCCCACTAGATTTTGAAAACAAGAAGCTGCGCATTCATACAGCTGGCAGCTTCAGCCAAGCGGGCCCAAAAGAATCCAACTGTGATGATAATCCCCGCAATAGATGCTGTCCAACTCTTGTGCCGTACCAGGAACTAGTTAGCGGTGTTTGTTGTTTTCTGCTGCTTTATGTTTAGACTAGAAACGCCTCCAGCAGAACAGAACATTGGTAGTGATACCTTAAACACCATCAGGGGAATATTTGTGATGGAGATAGCTAGGAGTAGTTACACTTTTTATCACTAGTGGATGAAGCCGTCATATCATTTGATTAAGAAAGAAAGAAAGATCCTTAAGTTATCAGTTTGATGCACTTAAAACTGCGTACTTTTTGGGGTTTTTTTGCATTGTCAGCATTGAACTCTCCCTTCAGCTATGTTTTATTTTTGCACACAACCAGAATGAGCCATACTAATGTGCTTGCACAGGTGCCAACAGTAACTCTTGTGAATCAGGATTCTACATGATGTCACGCGATCAACATCAGGATTTTTGTTACACATATTTTTGTGACCACTTGTGCGTTTGTGATTTTACCGAGCAGCACCTATAGGTATGACTTAGAGACCAAGTAGGCGTTGCAGTCTCCGACGTCAGCGATGACGTGTCAGGTCAGGATTGTTCCCACAGCGTGCTCGTCATTTTCGTTGACATTCTCTGGGTTGTGAACCGTGAGTTCGTCCCCCATGATCAGACTGGCAACACCGAGTTCTACTGTAAACTCCTGAGGCGCCAGAGAGAAATCAATGAGTGGAAATGACAAGAACTGTGGCACAAGTTTTTTGGCTTTATGTAGAGATTTGGGGGCTGCGAGGTGGATCGGTGGTTAGCACCGTTGCCTCGCAGCAAGAAGGTCGCTGGTTTGCGTCACGGTGAGGACACTTGGGATCCTTCTGCATGGAGTTTGTATCCAGCTTCTTCCTACACCGTCCAGAAACATGTTGCAGTTAATTGGTGATTCTAAATTGTCCGTAGGTGTGAATGTGAGTGTGCTTGGTTGTCTGTCTCTAAGTGTAGCTCTGTGATAGACTGGTGACCTGTCCAGGTGAACCTGCCTTCACCCTAAATCAGCTGGGATAGACTCCAGCTCCCTACGACCCTAGTGAGGATTAAGCGGTGTGTAGATGGTAGATGGATGGATGGATTTGTCCAAGATTTAACCAGGGAGTGCTCCAAGCGTGGCAGGAGCACTGGAAGCAGAGTTCCCCCTTATATCAAATTTAAGTAACAGTAATGGTTTCTGCTTTTTACAGGCACTTCTTTTGTACACAGTGGTGCTGTTCCAGTAGCACATCAGAGCTGTAATTGTTGGAAAACAGCTCCCTGCTGCTGCTGCTATACTTGAGCTACACACCAGAAGTTTCAAGTCATAAAACCAAAACAGTGAAGTGAAAAAGGTTAAACAGCCACTTTTTAAAGCTGCGTTTAACAGTCACACTTGTTGCCTAAAACATTTACAGCTCTGACATTTCAAAATAAAAGCACCAGTTATGCAGAAATGTGTCCATTTGGTAGTTTAATAAATAAGAAGGCATCTGATTTTATGAGCTTGTGATGTTTGTTTTGTTGTTTTTGCTAGATCTTTAAAGTATACCCACAACATAGATACAGTAAAGTAGAATACATTTAGATGTGTTATCGTAGTAATCATGTACAAATAGAGCAGCATTGTACAGTTACAGCACAGTTACACAGCAGATGGAGATATCGGGCAACATGTTCTCTAATATGTAGCCCCAAACGCTGATTGACATACAGTGTGTTTAATAATACATGATATCAGCCTACAGATCCCTGTGGGAGAAGTTTTCCACGTGCTGTGATAAGCAGTTTTAGTTCCCCCCTCATCTGGCGTGGAGGGAGTTTGATGCTGCAACAAACATACTCTATACAAACTCCCCACCCCAGAGAAGCTGGCTCTCCCTGTGTCTTTGTAGTTATATATAGAGTTTCTCCTGCAAGGCTGTCAGATTGCATTTGTCTCCGCGGTGCTCTCCTTGTTCACACTTCACACCCTCTAGACTCCGGCTTTCCAAACACACAAGGCCACGCGAGATGCTTGTCCCGCTGAGGTCAGCTGCCGTTTGCGTGCCTGTGTGTGTGTGTGTTGCACAGTGCGACGGCTGTGAGGGGGAAATGTCAAGCTGCGGGGAAGTCTTTGGCATTTGAGGCTTTGCAAGCGAGTTTTCTCTGCTTGACAGTCTTAATGTATGGTTGTGGACCAGTCAAGGCAAAAAGAAACGCTTACATTATTCATGACCGCTTTTTTTTTTTTTTTTTTGGAGAAGCTTTTACCCTCCTGTGAATTGGTGGGGTCGATGGGGGGCAGGGGTCAAGCTCAGCTGCTCAACAGCACCCCTTAAAAGTTGTAGGGCATCGCTGTCTGGCTCAAGGATAATTAAACAGTCCATAAGTGTCCAACGCTTATTCCTCCACCCTGCTGCCTGCACTTATTTTCTCCAGCTCCCCGGCCCTCTTTAGCTCAGTGAGACGTTTGCCAGCTCTTTTCCACGCCTCAGCTCTTCTCCCAGCTGAGCGGTGTGGCAGCAGGCCACCAATTTGTAGATAAGAGCCTATTTCTCAATAGCGCCAGCGGATCAATAAGCCGGGCTTGGAAAGCACTTAGGAATGACTGATGGTCGAGGCTATTAGGTGGTCCGTGCCATTACCTGTTGTGAGAATATATACCCAGTGTAATTGACATTCTGCAGTTATTTAATCAGAGAAAACATGAAGGGCATCTAACTGAAATGAAATATCTTGGATTCGAATAAAGTAAAACCTGACTGCGCTATAGGATAATGTATAGGTACCTGGCTTTAAAGTGGAGCAGCCGTAGGGTTCTAACAGTGACACAACTGTACAAAATCACAGATCAGTCAAGATGCCATTGTATGCTGGAGCATTGTACCTGCAGTAGCTGCTTTTTGGCCACTTGCAGGCAGAGGAATCAAACTGTGAACACAACGCTGATGTATTATTAGTTTGTAGAATGTTTGTTAAAAGTGGAGGCAGCCTCTGGAAGCTTTAGTGACCTAAACCTGCATTTCTTCCCATGGCCACCAGGGGGTGACTCTTCTGGTTGTGAAAAGAACTCCACTTGTATAGAAGTCTATAAGAACATGACCCGACTTCTCACTTGACTTGTTACCTCAGTGAACATTTTTCCAATTAGTTTATGGTCTCAACTGCTAGTTTCAAGTCTACTTCAATCCAGCATGATGTTGATTTAGTAAATTATGTTACCATTTAGAGGAAAATTTAGAGGACGTTCGATTGTCTGCTGTCTTCTGATTGAAGTCTTGATTATACTCCCTTGTGGATGTGCACATGGACAGTTACAGACACCACGGATGTGTAGTTGTTGTTATTATACTACTTTTCAGTCTGCATGGCTCATCCATACCGGTACAGTAGGTTGTATATAGGTATTACGAGCATGCACACCATAGTTGAGCACTACAGAGGGGTTCATGCATGGGAGGTGGCGTACGTTGCATTGTGCGGACCCTTGCATATTTGCAGTATAACACTGGCTTGTCAAGTGTTTATAGTGTCCTGGGGTTCTCCATCAGATCAAAGTCTGGTGTCAACACCCCAAGATGGCAACAACCACAGTCCAGACTAGAGGTTTCAACAGGTTACCTACACAGCAGTGATTGATGTCATGGTGGTTATGTACATCTTTCATATACATCTATGCCGATATGACTAACTTAATAGCAAACAGTTGTGTAGTTGCACATTCAACAGTTGTGTAGCAGCATTAGGATTCATTTTAAGTTGTGCTTCAAGATGATAAATGTAACTCAGTGTTCACTCTCCATTTAGCTCTGTTTTGGCCTCCACCGCCTTCTGAGTGGATTAAGCTGCTAAGCGAGAGGGAGCCAAAACAATAACGGTGCCAAAACAATGAGTTTGAAAGTGCTGGAAAGTTCCAGATCTGAGAGAAACTGCAGAATTATGTGAAAACAACTCTGCAGGTTCTTTGCTTCTTCACTTAGAATCCACGATTGTTCAAATAAAATATTGATTATAGGCACCAGCACTCCTCACCACCATCAGCACAACACCAAATTAAGGAATCACTTTGTGAAGACAGTTTGTTGGATTTTAACTTCAGTCTCCTGACTTTACTGTCTTAATATTTTGTTATATTTTTGGACCTTCTGTGCTACACAGTGGAGGTATTGTAGGGACAGACAACAAACACAGCCAAAGCTCAATATGAAGTCGAAAATAGTTGTATCCAAGGTACGAGGCCAATGTTCATGTCTCCCCATGTGAGAGCAGCACATTAGCTTTATTCAATTATTCAATAACTTATTCCATTACTCTCCCCAGCCTGGTTTCCTTGTATTGATGGCTCAGAGGGAAGAGGACTGGGTTCGTCAGCCACACGCTGCGGAAGAAAGCTTTTGATCCTTGAAGACATGCTTAGTGCATGATGGAAATGATGCAAAGTGGAGAGCTAACGATTTTAAACAAGAATTGGAAGCCATTAAATGTACAGCTTGCATGCCATGCAAATGCATATATAATGCATCCAGGAATAAAAAGAGCATCGCCATGCTCCATAGAGGCAGTTCCTTTTTTTTTTTTCTTTTTCTTTTTTGGTGATGACAGTTTGCTAATGGGATCTACACACCCAGGGAGTGATGGGAGCCTCCCGGGAAGCTGAATCCTGTCTCTCCATTGTGCATTGTTCAAAACCCTTATTGTTTCAGCATCTAACAAATACAGTATGTAGGCCAACAATGCACACATGCGCTGTCGCTGAGTTTACTCCCCCCCTCTGTCTCCCTTAGGTACCAGGAAGTTCCTGTAGTCTCTGCTTGTAACAAAACACACCCAGCAGGAAGGGAAAGCAGCGTATTTCACATGCCTCTCTTGGTTTCTCTCTTATTTGCAGGTACCAGCAGGTGCCGGTGGTGCTGGTGGGCAACAAGGTGGACCTGGAGGAGGAGCGGGAGGTGTCCCCCAGCGAGGGCCAGGCGCTGGCTGAGGACTGGGGCTGCCCCTTCATGGAGACGTCAGCCAAGAGCAAGACCATGGTGGACGAGCTTTTCGCAGAGATCGTCAGGCAGATGGACTTCTGCCCTCTGCCGGACCGGAGAGAGACCTGCTGCCCCGCCTGTAGCATACAGTAGCAGCCGATCAGCCCGACGGAGGGCTGATGGATGGGAGGGGAGCAGAAATTACAGTGCAAATGTATTCATGTTTGAAGATGGAGGGGTTTGAAGGAAAAATCCACTCTTGCAATCAGCATTTCTACCTGCTTTCTGTATCTAGTAGCTGAGGCCTGATCAAGAGGCATTCTGGGAAATGTAGGACAACACACACAAACTGAAGCAGAAGTCATCAAAGCAGGTTAAGGGGGAATTAAATTTCAGCACTTCTTCTCAGACACAGGGTGGATTTTCCCTTGAAAGAACAGAAACAACACTCGACCTCCCACGTCCATCACGGTCCCTGCTGATTATTCAGGAGTGAATTTCCGGGGTTTCCCAAAGGCTGCACGGTGCCAAAACCATCCTAAAAGCCATCAACAAAGAGGATCATAGTGCTAAATGCTTTTGGGAAAGCAGCCATAGGTCCAAGCAGGGATGGTAGCGTGCTCAGCAGTTTTATTAGTCCCGTTTTCTTCCGCTTGTGTTTTTCTTTTTGCACTTTTGGGACTTTTTGACAGTGCAAGGCCGATCACCGAGAACAGATAAGTAACACCACTGTGAAGGAGTCATACCGGAAGTTCATTTTACAGCAGGCCCGCCTAACTATGAATGAATGAATAAAATGAACGAATGTCTATAAAGGAAACTGCACCTTTGGGGAAATTCATGCCGAAGATCCCAAATGTTACTGTGGATGATGTGTGCATGAAGTTGTGCTGTCACACTGACATTGAGTACAATCAATCTCACCCAAAGAGACAGTGTCGATAAATCAACTGATCAATCAATCAGTCAGTCATTAAAATGTACGGACACTTGTCTTTACACCTTACAGACGATACAAATGCCTTGTTACATTGTATGAAGTGAACATCAGTGTCAGTGTGTAGTTCATCTACCTTAAGTCACATCGGATATGTTAGTGGTTCAATGTCAGGAACACTTATTTTCAACAAAAAAATAAATCTTTATGCACAACTGTGTCATGTAAATTTATTGTTGAATAATCATTTTTGTGCACATTTAATGGAAAAGAAGCTCTTTTTCTTCTTCTAATGTCATTAGCAACTTTGAAGTCGCCTCTCTTCTTCCACTTTAACCTCCAAAGGTCATGAGATTTGCACTCATTGTGAAAACAGCCTTTCAGCTTTGCTTTTTAGCAGTAATTCCGTGCTATCTCGGCCTGCGTCAAGATGATTTATGATGTTTTGGTCCCGTGGCTGTGTCCTCGTGCTCCTGCCGCTGCCATTAGTGCCAACACTTAACTGCTGATTCTGGACCTGAAAAATCCAACAAGCATTTGTCAAATTCTTTGTGCCATTAGAGTCCATTAGAGGATGAAATTGGGGACATGTGAGACTTCAAATCCAAGCTCATAACTTTGGATTCCATCCAATTAGCATAGGTACAGCAGCAGTCTTTCAAGACTTATGAAAGACACTGAGGCAATTTAAATTGTGGCCACCGCAAATGACTAAACTTTAGTTTAAGTGCTCTTTGGAGTATCAAACAAAAAGTATTGGACAGACATGTAAGCCAGTGTGTTGTCTTTGTAACTTCTCAGTCATCCAGGTCATGGTAATCCAAAGTACTTTAGTAGAAGGTGACTACTTTTTGATTGTTTATGATGTTTAGTCTCTTATCCAAGATGCTTCTTCAGGTCTAATTGACTGATGGAGAGTTTCAGATGTATACTATCATCCTGAAATCACATGGCTAGTGGATGATTAACAGCCCAAGACTCTCGTGCCATAAGGTATGAAAAGCTACTGAGAAAATCATTTTATTCAGGATTAATAAAGTTTTATCTTATCCTAACTGTCTGGGGTGAGATCTCAAGAGTGCATCGTAAATACTTGGTAAGTGGTGTCATAGAACCCCCTTCTTTGTTTAGGGATGGTTCTGGTTGATAATAGATAACACTTCACTGTTGGTAGTAGTTTCAATGGTGGGCATGAGATGGAAGTACTACAATAATTATTCTCTATTTTGTAGAAAAAAAACTAAGATTAGGATCATTCTCATCCAAAAGGCGTCTTTAACTGTAATTGACTGACAAGAGGGTCCAAGATATATACTGTCCCTCTGAAATCACATGACTAATGGTCCATTAATGATCACATGCCTCGTGGTATGAATCGTGAGATGAGTGATGACTCAAGATGTTAATGGTGGTGAAACTTTCTGGGAAGAGATCTCCAGACTCCTTTATGTGATAAGTGGTGTCATAGACCGAGGATGAGGGTCACTCATTTGAGGACATATTGTGGTCAGAGAAGACCAATAAACTTTATACATTAAACAGTGGAGAAGGTCTGCAACACCAGTGATCAGCTTTTTATAAGGCAGTCTTAAGATTAACATTTCGAGTCATCTCACGCGTAAAATATTTACAACCATTCATACCACGTGAGTCTTGGATTGTTAATGGGCCTTTACCATGTGATCTGGGGAGGATAACATATATTTGGGTATCCCCATCAGTCAACATGAACTGAAGAAGTCTCTTGGATGAGTAGTGAAGCATCTTCAAGAATCAAGAACAGAAATCCAGCTCCCTTTTGCTGCAGCTCTAAAACCTATTGGGATGTTAGGAGCTATTTTAATGAAAATGCCTCAACTTTTTTTTCTTTCTCTCTGCAAATAGTGAATAATTATTGCAGGGCTTCCTATGCGACCCTCCCTGAAACTCCTACCAACAGCGACACCTGCTGTCATAAACCAGAACAGCATCTCGTCCTGTAGCTCACTCGGAACTTCCGTCTTCGTACATCAGTTCCTCCCCGGACCTGAATAAGCGTTGCACACCAAACAGGCATGGCGTCCTTCAACCACAGGCGTTTGTAACAGACCTTCATCTGTGTGCCCTTCTGTATTTATTTGAGGTAGTTTTTTGTGCAGCTGGTGAGATATTCGTCCCAATGGCGACCAGGAGCGTGTGTCAAGTCTTCCAACGGCGTGAGTACCCGTTTGTTAACGTGTAGCATTAGCATGGGAGCTAACTAGGTTGTATTGGTGGCTTGTAACCGTTAGCTTTGTAGGCTGGAGTAGTAGACCTTTATTTTAGAGGTATGCTTTAGTTGAGACAGCAGGAAAAACACATATAGAATTAGTAATATACATTGTCTTCTTCATTTAGTGTCCCAGTATCATTTTCAGTTAGCTAGCATGCTAATTAGCATCACCTGCCTTGATCAATGTAATTAGGTACACCTGTGCTGTTCTTCCAATTAACGTGTCTGCCGCGACAAACGCTCTGACACAAAACAGGTAATACAAAGAGAGTTTTTAAATGTCTGGTATTATTTCAGTTCGTTTTTATTTTATATTTTTTGTCTCAAATCCAAATTAATAGACTTTGACGCCATTAATAAGCATTAAGCAACCGGCTGCATTAAGCCCGAATCTTTATCACATGACATTTTCTAAACAGTGATTTTAAAGCCTCGCCTTTAGTTTGATAACCTGCATGACTTTAGAATGTGTGACATTATATGAAAAGTTATTGTAAATGCCCTTATTTTAGTTTGCATTTGATTATTTTTGCAAGTAGTCGATAAAAGAGTATTCGCAGGTATGAATGTAAAAGTTAAAGACCTGGTAAGAGTCTGGCTTTTTCCTTTTCCTTAATGCAAATGGTGATGATAAATTCTTTGTCATTACTAATACCACTGAAATTCTATTGATCCCAGTATCAGTTTTCGACTACAGCAATCACTAGAATATAATTAATATTTTAACGTAACTTCTCACTTGAAAAACTTGTCGTGAAGCTCTCAAGTATTACAAAAAAAAGACAATATTTGACCCTATGTGTTCCTAAGAGGCAAAGTTTAGAGAATCCCCTGCTGTCCATTTGATTCCCCCTGGTCCCCCCTGAGTGTCTCCTTTCTGTTTCAATACATTCGTCCATCCACAGGCTTTGCATCAGCCGCAGCATCTTTGCGTGCATCGCCTGCCGAGATACGCAGCCAGCGCAATGCCATTTTCTCCAGAGAGCAGGCCAGGCAGAGAGCTCTGTACCCTCGCATCGAGAAGATAGAAGTGTCCATGCATGGCCCGGGACTGGATGGCACCCTGCTCATCATGAACAAAGGCATGTCAACTCCACTGAGCTGCGCCAGACGTAAGTGAAATTAAGTGGCATTTACTTTTCCCTGTACAATAGCTGGTATGCTTCAGTTAAATATCCCCCTCTTTTGAGCTTCACTGCAACCATTTTAAAGTCCTCTTCAATACAACAATCCATAACAAGAAAGTAAAAACCTCAGCTTTATTTTCATGTATTAATAATGTTCTGCTACATGATAAACAACAGATAACTACTTAAGATGAGCTGTGTTTCCCTCAGATCTGACCGAATATCACGTGAAAAACTCTACTCTGGCCCTGGTGGATGGAGAACCATGGCCTCTTCACCAGCCCCTCACCCAATCCTGCTCACTCACTCTGCTCACGTTTAAAGACAACGACCCAACACTGGTCAATCAGGTGTCTGGACAACAAAAGTGTTTTTTATTTATTTATTTATTTATTATGTACGAGGACAGGGGTGTCCAATCCTGGTCCTCGAGGGCCGCAGTCCTGCATGTTTTAGATGTTTCCCTCTTCCAACACACCTGATTCAAATGATCAGCTCATCATCAAGCTCTGCAGAAGCCTGATAACGATCCTGATCATTTGAATCAGGTGTGTTGGAAGAGGGAAACATCTAAAACATGCAGGACTGTGGCCCTCGAGGACCAGGATTGGACACCCCTGTACTGGGATGTCAGATTGTTTGTGCATTCTCTGCTTTTTATTTCTGAATTCAGGAACATGAGGAAATCAAATAAATCCACAGAAGTAGAGGTACATTGGAGATGAAATAACTCATTTTTTTCATCGTGTGGTAGTGTTTCCTGTAGATTGTGTGACCAACAATCTTAAAACATTAACCAGCCAAGAAAAAAAAGCAGCCGTTGGTGATAGAGTTCTGTGAAAATCGAGTAAAAAACCATCTAGCTTTACATAAACGTGAGCAAAATGCAGAACAAGTCTTGTTAAAATTCTTGAATGGAGTAACAGCATTGAAGATGTCAAAGCCACCACCTGCACTACAAACTGACATTCTGTAAAAATTACTTGTCATTATGAATTAGGTTAAAACTAAATAAACAAGTTCATGCACTGATTGTACTGTATACAGAAGAGAGAATCAATCAGAGAGCATTATGAAGTGAGTAAATGTTGGGATGTGAATCGTGTCCTCCCCTCAGGCCTACTGGCGTTCCTGTGCCGCCCTGCTGGGTCAGGTGATGGAAACTGCGTTCAAGGATGAATATACTGTGGAGCTGCTCAGCACACCAGAAGTGCCAGGTAGAGGAGCGCCGCCTCGTGTGTGCTTCATAGTCGGAGGCTCAGATGTGTTCTGCGTGTCTGATTCTATTTCATGTGTTTCTCTGCAGTCATTTCAGGGGCCTTCTGCTGTGATGTGGTGCTCGACCCTCAGCTGGACTCATGGACTCCCTCTGAGGTGTGTGTGGTCAAAAAATCAGCTAAAGGAGAGTTACAGTGTATTTAAACCTGATGTTTTTCTCTTAAATTGGATATTGTGGCTTCAAGTGTACAAGTGTACAAGTTACTTTCAGCCATGTTTTAGTGTTTTGGGAACTGTTAGCACAAACTTGTGGCAGTTTCCCAAATAAACTAATATTTACATGAATCATTTTAAATGTTTGTTTTCAGGTTTGACTGAAACACTGTATTTAGGCACCAGGATCGGCCATTTTGCTAACTTGATCAGTTTTTACTTATTGCATTGGGAGCTGAGTGTTTGGTCCGGCCACTCTTGGTCATTTCTTCCAGTTTATTTTGGGGAAGTGAAACACCATCTCCAGGATGACAATGTTTATCAAAGCTGCAGATTCATTAGTTGCTGTTCCACAGCTGGAGTTCCTCTCATCCTTTGACACAAGTCTGGCATCAACAGGTCTCACTCTGTGCAGCAGCAACTTTCCTCTTCAGTCCGCAGCAGAGCAGTGAACGTAGGATCAGCCTCCTGACGGGACACTGAGTTACTTTTAGGGTGTTAAATTGTCTTTTTGCCTCAATCCTCACCGTCAGTCAGCCTCACTCGTGTAAAATAAAAGGGGCGTGCACAGACAAATATGTTGTGATTCGATCAACTGGCATGTATCCTTGCGTGGAGATCCCTAATGCAGTTATGTCTGTTCCAGGCAACTAATGTCTGTGTTGGACTTCAGAGCAGTCTGAAAAGCTTTTAAATGATTCATGTAAAAATCTACTTTCTTTGCTGCAGGAACACTTGCTGCAGATGCTAATTGCGCCATGAAACATAGTTCATAAATGGTTTAGTGCCGATCTTTAGCAGATGTGAAGAGTGCAAAGTACCATGACCCACAATAATGGGAAACAGTTTGTCAGTGTCACTGAGGCAGTGCAAGACTTTTTATATTGTCCTCAGTTCCTAATATAACATGCCTTCACTGTCAAAACAAATGTGATATTCTGATGTAGTCAACATATCTTGAGTCCATCACTGCTCTAGGATGAAACTTCAATCATTAAGAGGTCAGTGAAAACTTACAACTTTCTGTTGGTGTGAAGTTTCTCTTTAAAGTGATTTTCCATCCAAACATCGATCTTTTGAGTGTCAGATACTCTGTGGTTGGAAACCCCAGAGCTGAATGTTTAAAATTCTGTGCTCACAAACAGCTGCGCTTGTGGTTTATGTTGGTGAAGTGAATCCCAATATTTTACAAAAAAATATGAAGACAAACTTCTCACCTCATCTTCCCACTCATACAGTCATCATTTGGCTTGAGTGCAATTGTGACATCTACTGTCTTGTTGGGGATTTAAATCGATCTATTTTTATGTCATTTTTTAGTTTACTAAATGCTTGTTGTGTGACAAAGGGAGGCACAGTTGCACTGGGTGTTTTCTCAGCTGTGGTTGCAGGGCAGGAATGATTCACAGCTTTTATTTGTTGGTTGGTGTTTCAGACAACACAACTCCTGGGTCTCCTCCTGTGTCTGATCCTTTGAGAGTGTAAGTGAGTTGTTGGTAAATCAACATGGCTGTTTATTTCCAGGAGTCCTTGCGCTCTCTGACTAGAGGGGCCCAGAAGCTGATCCACCAGGACCAGGCCTGGGAGCCTTTGGAAGTGGTGCCCTCTGTGGCGCTGGAGGTCTTCTCACACAGCAGGTAGACCGGCCTCTGGCTCCATACTGTTCTCCTCTGATGCTGCCTCATGGCTGTTTCCACCACTCACTGTATTGCTTCATTTTTATGTAGCTTAACATATATTTGTTTTCTTTGTGCCTGTATATTTTTCTGTATGTTATTTGTCCTTCGCCAGTACACTTAAACACATGGTGACCATTGTTGCTAAACGTTCTGTCTGTTGCCGTCTTTCTTAGGTGTAAACAGGAAGAGGTGGAACAGAAAGCTTCACAAAGTCCCAAAGGCACCGTGATGCTCTACAGGTGACTTCACACATCTTTGTTTCCAGCTTTACTTTTTCCTTCATAATCCCAGTGTTCTTAAGTTGCATGTATTTTATTTTGAATACCTGAAACAGTTGATATTATTATTACATCATTCACCTATCTTCTATCAACCATTTCCTCATCTTTGAAGATGTGGTGACCATGTGCTGCTGAGTGGAGGCCCTCTGGTGGCCAGGACTGGCCTGTGCTCCCAGTACGAGGTGACGGCCCTCCATAACCTGGGACAGGGATCCTGGGGTCTGCACCGTCGAGTACAGGGCCTCTCTCTGCCTCTGCAGCTGCAGGTAGGGATGAGTGTGAGACATAATGATACTTGAACATACTGAAGGCATCCAGGAAGTGGAGCTGAGGAGTCTGCTTCTGTGTTTGGCTTTTCAGTTCTTCCTCTTCTTTTTGTGTGTGTGTGTCTAAACAGGTATAGATCAGTTAAATTTTAAATCCTTAGACTCACATTGAAACTACATTCATTCTAGCTCAGTTTAAAGATATTTCTCATGTGGGTGACTCTGGTGATTTGATTGGGTACGTTAAAAATTGAATCTTTAAATATGAACTTGTGCAGTGCTTCTTCTGAACGGGAAGATTGCTGAGCCTCAAGTATTACTTCTCAACATCAGTGACTCGCCACTTATGTAAACTACTTGAAACTTGACATTGACTAGATCGGGTTTCAAAACATTAAGATGATGATGCCTAGATGGGTAGAACCAGTGCAGTTGAGAGGGATGGACAACATTGAGAGCCTGATGGACGCACTGTGGATTCACATTAGGATCAACCGATATGTTTTTTAGCACCGTTACAGATGCAAGGTATTAGTAAAGGTCGATATTTAGACCAGATATACATTAAATGTAATGTTTTAACAGCATGTGATGGCAGAGAACCTGTCATTCATCAAGCAGATTCTTCATTAATAAGGGTGACTATAAAATAATGTGTAAAGCAGAAATAGGAGTGATTAAATCAGGGCGTTCTCTGTTTAAGAGGAGCTAAGACGGTAATTTCCTGGTTTGTGGCAACCACTTGTGATTCTTGTTCAGTTTTTGCAGTCTCTGCTTGAGAGACATTTCTAAGATCACAGATTGATGACAAACAGAGAGCAGTGGCTGCATCAGATCTGAAGTAGAGCATTTAGTTTATCAATCAGCCAATAAAAATACAGATAATCGGAAAAATGCCAAATATCGGACAGTCAGTCTATTCTTAATTCACCTTCACGTCTCCTCTTCTTGGTGCAATTTCTCTTCATATGTTTATTGCAGCGAGGTGTCGCACACAGTAAATGAAAACACATGACTCGTACTCTGGGGACCAAACAGTAAACAGGACGGTTCTCTCACTGCAGTCTGAACAAAGCTTTCAGCAGCGGTACTGATTCTTATAGATCACCACATTGTTGACTGTTTAGATCACTCCCCTACTTTTTAAGATTGTGGGCGAGATTTTTTAGCCGTCGCTTTTTCTACACGGAATCCATGTTTTGACGGATCTCAGCCAATGTTGCAACACATCATGTTGTAATCGATAACGTCATGAGGTTGCTGATCTGCCGCTGCTTTACCACAGTCACCGACTACGCTTTAGTGTTCATCTGTTTTTGAGAACTGCTCGTCCAAACAATTTGAAACTTGACGCTAATTTTGCTTTGGTTTTTGGCAATACACTTGCTGACTTTGAAGTGGATCAAATGAAAAATCGTTGATTAAAAGTCAAGAACAGACATAAACAGACTCTTTGATTTAATAGATATATATTAATTTTTCATCCACATTCAATCTCTGCGATTACAGATTGTAGTGTCCTTATTTTTCCTCTTCTGAAGTTTTTTTCTTTAAGAATGCTAAGTGTTGTTGCTGTGGAATAAAAAAAGTAAAAATAGAAGCCACTTTATCATCTTGATATCAAAGTTTGTCATGCATAGAGGTGTAAATATTTATAAAAAGGACTTTATTGGTGTCTGCATGTGCCTCCAAGTCACGTTTTCTCTTCCTCCCTGCAGGCTCATCACACAGTCTGGAGGAAACTGAGGCAACGGGCAGAGAAACTGGTAGGAACAACGAATCTCTCAGTTTTTTACCTCAAACAGTCGTGACATCAAAGCTGATGCACTGAGGCCAGCTTAGAGATGGCTGTAAGTGGGTTTTTCTTTTCTGGATGCTGGATATTTGTCCAAATGACTGTCTGTGTCACGTTCAGCCAGCCCGCTCCCTGGCTGCAGCCATCTCTTCACATTTCTCAGAGTAGCCAGAGGTTAGGATTTAACACTGCTATTTTTATTGCTTTGCATTATTATTTTGGCAAAAGCGGAGCGAGGAGATGCGTCGTGGGCTGTAATCTCCAGGAAAAAGCAGGCCTCATCCTCCTCATGAAGGACAAACGGCTGTTTTCTGAACTCTGAACATCAAAAACACAGACGCTAACTTGAGATCCAAGGAGGAAGTATTTTTAAATCTCTCCAGGTTCAAGGCTCTCATTCTAGACATTTGGAGTGATACAAAGTCGAATCCTCTCCATCTGCATAACCAAGTTCGACTTGAGCACGAAAAGAGAAGCTTAAATTCTGCAAATCCAAACTAGGCTATGAGTTAATTTTGGATGGAGCCATCTAGGCGAAATATATTTTGCTGCAGCCTTTCTGGCGTTCTCTGTGAATCACTGATTGCGTAGTGAAAAAAAAAAAGATGTACTCATTAATAGACACACTTGACTTGGCAACTGATGACATAGCGTGCTCTGTGGCCTACATTTTATTTTCACCGAGATTCGGTTGTCCTGGGGATTGAAATAGCGCTTTATTAAAGACAAAAGTGTGGATGTCAGAGCTGGACACACATTAGAAGTAGAGACTATTTGGATCACGTCCTTCTGGAGTTGTTACAAGCACAAGATTAGCATGCAGACCTGCTGCAGTAGCGTCTGAATATCAGTTTTATATCCTTGGAGGTCACTGTTCCATATTATCACCTGCCTGTCTGTTTGCTGTGTTTGGTGTGCGTATGATGTGTCAGGAGGAAGGCCGTCCTGTCCTTTCTGTCCCACGTGTTAACAGAACATGGCACTAATCAGCGGAAGAGCTATTAACTGAAACTTCTCTGAAGGACGTTTATGCTGCAGTATAAGTAGGCACATGAGCCTAATGCACATCCTCCACTCCTCTTCAACAGCTTGCGTTGGCAGGCTGAGATCATATAAGAACCGCATGAATGTCTTCATCCGTTCTATTAAACCACACAAGGCTGTGTTGTCCTGGCATTGTTCAGTGTTTGCAGATAAACTGTCTTTCTCTGCCTCATGTGCAAAAGCTGCCAGAGTCGTGAGAGAAACAGTTGAAGGGAAGTTTACGACACAGGTTCATGTGTGTTTCACCTGAGAAACCACTGTAGTTCTCCTTTATTACAACTTGGGCTGTTGTAGTTTTAGCCATTAGTTTAAATAGATGGAGATTCATACCTGACTTTTATCTGTTTTCCCCTTGGAAAAACTTGGAAAATCTACATTTTTCGCTCACAGGTGTTTAAACAACACACTGAGAAAGGGTTTGGTCACGCTAACCTCTACATGAGTGTAAATATGAAGTACGTAAACTCACAGAATAAGGTAGCAGCAGCATCCTCACTTCAGGTGTGTGGAATGGAGCTTCTAATAAAAATTTTTCTCTAGGTGTACTTTGTAAATATTTAATGTGGATCAGAAAATAAAAAGTACTGGTTCCTTTGGAGGTACCCCAGGATTGTTAATCTGTTGGAATGATGGGAATAATCCTCATGTTTATGACTCAAGATGGCATCTGCCAGTCGTCTTGTACTCACTGTTAGGAAAAAAAATGAAGAAACACAAGCTGCATTCCTTCTGTTTTAAACTATGTTTGCTATAGTAGCCAAACAGACGGATGTTGTGCTTTGATTTGCGCTATTTTGTTATAAGTCAAGCTTGACCTTAATATGTATTGTGTAATAGATTTTAAACATGTGATGGAGCATTACCGCACTAGATACGATCATAAGTGTGGCTGTCGCACAAGAGGGACGCCGTGAATTTGTAAATAATTAATGAGAATTTAAACAGTGGGTCAGACGTACTGCTCAAGTTGTGGATAATAAATGAGACTGGGTTTGTGTGAGCGTGAACCACGCAATGTACGTTGATCGTCAACAAAAACAACCCGCGAAAGTTTCAATTTGCTCGTGTTAAATATATCAGTTTACGCATTAGTCTCATTATTAGATATTCACACCTCATATATCCTAATTTGCAGCCTTTGTGTTTTCTAATTGTATTGTTTCAGATTATGAGCTCTACTGCTACACAGCAGCGTAACTGAAATAAGTTCAGACAGGACACTTGGTCAGATTCACCCATTTATTTGGAATGACTTGAGTTTGGCGGTGACTCTGCTCGAGGAACAATCAGAGCAGGCATGACACAGACAGTGCCTGAGATCACAAACCCTCCAGCAGAGCCTTAGAGTCACGATGTTCAAATGAACACAAAAACAAGGAGTCCAACTTAAATGGTCCTCACTTTACGAAATCCAGTTTACATAGTGTCAAGGTACAATTATGCGTTCTACAGTCCCACAACAAGCACAGGTATGAAATAGAACTTCTAAAAGGGAGGAAGAGGAGATTTGCTGATCTGTAGATGCTGGTGTAGCAGTGATGTTGTGAGCGTGGCGCGGGCTGAATGAATGAACGCTGCCTCGGTTATAAAGCAGCTCAGTGGGCGGGCTGGACTTGAGCAGAGAAGGACTGGACAGAAAGGGCCTTGTGACGCCCTGACTGTCTGAACTAACGCGTAAGCTCGATGTGACGACACTGAATGACCCTTGTTTCACTACAAAGTTGAACATGTCAGGTTTAAAAATGCCGTCTTTGCTCAGTGTGGCAGCAAACTGTTGACATTTTCACGATCCAGCCTTTCAGAGTTTGCCTGAGGTGAGACGTCCGTGCGTTTTGTCGGCTCCACCGCATCAAAGTGGGTTAAATTGCAGCTTTCGAGAAAATCTGGATTTTTCCACTGACAATTATGACTTGACGGGAACGTTATTCAGAAGTCGGAAACCAGTAACTGCAGCGGTTCCAGTCTGACTTGAATGACATTATTCCCCGTGCTTCCTGCCGTGTACCTACCAGTAAGTATCTAATTGGTGCATATGCATAAGTCATGATTGTAATTTGTGAGCGGTAATGTACAACATTACTAAGTAAAGCTCAGTAATGTGGCACTAAATGCACTTAACATCCTGCTGCAGATCGTCAACCCTCTGAACCTGCTGCCTCTTTTAGGTTTTATTGACTAAGTTACATGTGAATGTTGTAGATGACACGTGTCGGGATGTGACTCTGGTAACTACGGCTGCAGAGCCATTTTGGTCGAGTGTCTTCAGTAAATGAGGTCGCATCTCGGGAGATGTCTTGATTAAATTAAGGTTAAGTAGAAGTCAAGTGTTTTTTCTGGCTAAATGTTTGAGTTTGCAGCTAATTTATGTTTTGCCCCAAAGTGAAAACAGGTAGTGGAGCCAGAAGCTCAGAGGAGGATGCAGATTTCTCACAACTTGGATGTTATTGTAATCGTTTGCAGCGTTATTTCTGTGTGTTATGTAGCGACTGTAAGATCGAGCACCGAAGCTATCGTCAAATCCATCCGAGGCAAGAAAAAGAATCAGCCTGACCATGAGACAGATTAAACATGGCAGCGAGGAAGCCAGAGCGATTGAAATGATTTGACGCTGAAACGAATAGTAAAGACGTCAAATGTCAGTGAAATGCAAACTGTTGAGCTCGTTTGTTTTAATAGATTTAAATTGTGTTACTTGTACAAAAGCTGGAACTGTCTTGTCAGGAATCCATCTAAAGTTGGGTGAGATAGTTTTTGTAATCCTGCACAGCATCCTGATGCTACATCGGCTTTTTTTTTTTTTTATGATAATGATTCTCATCTGAGTTTTTATTTTTTTTCAGGCTGAGGTGTTGTGTTTTATTATAAAGTTGAAAGATGAGTGTTATTTTGTCCGCCCCCCTGAATGTGCCAGCACACAGAACTCTGCAGAAACAGGTTGATAAAAGCAGCGAGGCGTGGGCGGACGCGTTTTGTGAGCCGGCTGCAGGCAGTAGGGAGGCATGTCCCCCGTCTGCCTCCAGCTGGCGCTCCAAACACTGCCACCCACGCTGCAAACACACTCGCACAAATTTTCCCCGTGGGGAACATCGTGCCCCCACACCCCTCCACCATCACTGTGGAAGTGCTCTTTTAAAGATGCTAAAAGATATTTTTAGTCCCTGTTTTTTACAATTTTCTACAAAAAAAAAACAGGCTGGCGAAGGGATGTGACAGTCTTATGAATAAATCAATCAGTTGGTTTTTAAAACACATCTCGCTTCTTCTGTGTTTTTTTTTTTCTCCTTTTCTTTTTTTACACAGGTGGACGCGCCCGTACCTGAAGCAGTGGCTGCTGCTCCTGAAGTGACTAACCCTCCAGACTCAACTCAGCCTCCAACCAGCCAGTAACCTCGTCTGTGTAACCTTCCACACACACATATACATACTCTGACATGTATCCGACTGTACCATTTGTTCAATAAATGTATAAAAAATATCTGATAAATCACTTCCACATATCTCTTTCTTATAAAAAAAACGGAGGGAGCGGGGGATTTAACCGTTCAGCTGATGGAGTGAAACGCGTTGAGTTGTATGTGTGTCAGCAGTTTGCTTCACAACAAAAGCTGTGTGTGTGTGTGTCTCTATATATTGGCTGAAGGTCAGGCAGCAGTGCAGCTGTTGTGTCTATCACTCATCAAACAGGTGGCTCTCAATCCTCCGAGTGTGTTTGGCAAGTGTGAGAAAGTGTGAGCGAGCCTGAGGATTGGAGCCATGAGGCCGAAGCTTTTCTGCTTTCTTTTTTTTTTTTCTTCTTCTCCTTCCAGGATTCCAGGCGATTTGACACGTTAGACACAACACTTCTGCTTTCTGCCAGAGGTACATCATCATCATCATTGTCCAGAAATGTTGCTGTTATAACCCTGAGTCACACGTGTGCTTAGTATGTTTGGTAACACGGTGACATTCCTGACCTGTTTATAGCAGGTTTATGTTGCAGCTAATGGTTAACCCTCTGAAACCCAAAACCTGTTGGCGGGCTGCAAATGCATTTTAATGTTTTAAAAAAAATCTCAAATTCTAACAGACAGAAGTTTCAAATTCTATACAGAAAGATTAATCAGATTTTTATTTAAAGTTAGCTCCATCCAAATCACTTATTTTGGGGGGATTTTTTAAAATGAAACCTGTTTGTTTGAACCAGATTCTGTAAAAAGCTGCAAACTCTGAGCTCCTCAGTGCAACTGTGGAAACCATAATAACCAACAGTCATGTGACGAGAGTTCAGGAGCTGTTTGGCTCAACTGCAGGCTGTGTTCAAACAGCAGGGAAGACAAACTAAAAGTGTAAGTGGTAAAATATCTATAGGATGTAGACTCACCATTTTCCCTCCAGTATTAGTCTCACGCCTCTGGGGTTTTTCAAGATTTTTTAAAATGAAAATGTCAAAATTCCACTTTTCTTTTGTCTTTATTCGGGTTTATAGCATTCTAACTTTCCTGTACAGCACTGTAGACATTGACTATTTAACGATGGTTATGTTTCCATAAAGGTGCAGGACCTGAGTAGCAGTGAGCAAAAAAAAGTCCCAGAAGCCCCTTGGACTAAAGAGGGTTAAATGGTATTTATGCACAAAAGGAACTCGAGACACAAGACAGATTTAAGTACAACACCATGCTGTATAATCTTCAGACTTTGAGCTCAGCAATATTTCGCTTCATGCTGTTGTAAAATCTTGGTTCCCAGATTTCCACTGAGGTGCAGGACTTTACGTTGCAGTGACAGTGAGGGAGGAAGGAATGCCCACAAACCGCTTGGTGTTCAGAGGGTTAATATTTACTTTTAATTAGTTCTAATCCATTCATAGCTACCAGAGCCTTTTTGTCTCATGATTTTTTTAAAGCATCAGTTACATTACTTGTCTCTTTGATGGCTCACTAGAAAGCGGTGTGTGTAGTCTCACTACATGTATGAACCATTTGCGTAACAGTACAGGTGCTTACAGACAGCTGGTTATGTTTAATGACTGCCAGCGACATAAAGTAAATTGAGCTCCCTCCCCTCCCCCATTCTGATCCCTCTTTGACATCTGAGCCCCTTGTTTGTCTTTGGATAAACTTAAAAAGCTGAATGACAGGTACTTTAAAAACCAAAAAAAGCCATCAGATTGTCAGCGGAGCGTCTTTATGTTCTGCTCCTCAGCGACGGTGAACTTGTTTCGTGCGGTGAATCGGAGACAACAGAAGATTGAGCAAAGCCTCAGGGCCCGAAAAGTTGTGCAGCTGTTGCTCCCACTCAAGCATCCTACTACTTCCACCGCGACCCCCACCCCGCCTGACAATGTGCGAGACACACCCGAGGACATATGCCCTCAGACTTAGAGGCAGCCACACCAGCAGCACCAGTTGAGATGTTTGAATCGGTGCCCTGAATTCCTCGCTGCTGTCACGCTCGAGAGGTGTTTAGGAGGGATTGCTGCGCCTGCTGCTGCTCAGATATGATTAAATTTGAATAGCTACCAAAACACTCTGGAATAATGCATTCCTAGAAATGAGTTTCTAATGTCTGGCTGTTGTCTATTTGGTGCTGAGGAGCAGGGTCAGCAGTGCACTCACCCTGGAGCTTCCCTCGCTTTATTCCATAGAGGAGAGGCTGCCTGGGTGCATTAAGTGTTTAGCGTTGAGGCAGGAGTGGTGCCGGCCAGGGCGGCGATCAGGCTCACACTTGTTGAGTCATTTCCAGATGGCTCACAGATACATAGGATTTAATTTAAAAAACAGATGTACTGTGTTTTCTTCCTTTCATCTCTTTCTCTGCATCATCCACGACTGTTTTAATAACAAACTTTATGAAAACGACTTCAAATATGTTGCTAATCTCATCGGATTCAACTCAACATGTAGCACCCGCAAAAAAAATTTTTTTAACCTTATTAGCAGGTCTATATGGTGTTTGTCAGATTCATAGGTGAGCTGGGTGGAAAAATTAAATCTACACCTGCTAAAAGAAGCAACGCTTTAGAGTTAAGCTCAAAACATGCAACTCTGATATGTGGAAAAGAGTTTTTAGGCGTTTAATCAACCACCAGAGAGGAACTTCTACACACATTAAGTAAAAATACCAAAAGTCTAAATTCTTCACTTAGATCCTTGCGGTACAAAATTCACATTAAAACTAAACAAGCAGCTGCACAAACCTTCACATAACATCCCACTTCCCAACCGTGTTCATCTCATCCTCACATAAAGTGTAAATGTGTTAATATAAAATGTGAATTTCCAAACACGAAAAGAAAAACTATAGTCCCTCTAGTTTACATCTCTTGATTTCATATTTGATGTTAGAAAAATTTGTGATCAATGATTAACTTGCAGTAAATGTCATTTACAATCACATTTTTTTTGCTCAACATAGAGGCAACTGTGATTTCCAGCCCATTGACAGGAACTATGTGAGGGCAGGATGTTGTTTTTAGGTGATTCGGCTTAATTTTAACATACATAGGACTGCTTGGTGCAAATTGCAGCTTTTCAAACTTAACTTTACTTTTTGATTTAATTCTAAAAGTGCACCAAAAACTTCAAACCTTCTTAAATCCTCTTTTATTGCTCCAGTCACTACTTTGACTATTGTTGCTCTTATAAAGGATTATTGGTGTTCATTAATAGATTTCTGCATGATGCCTTCAAGTTTTGAGTTAAAAAGCTGTGAAAAAGAGCTTTTGCTACCATTGATTTGTGTAAGTAAACATACTGGTGACAGTCAGTGGTGAGGGCTGTTTCACAATCTGACAGCACTGAGTTTATACAATCTGAAAATTTAAAAAAAATAAAAAAAAATAAAGAGAAAACGAAAGGCAAGAGTTTGCACCAATCATTTTGAGTTATGACAACCTGTAGAGAAGTCGTCTTCATGAGCTTTTCCTTTGCAAACTAGAGTTTTTATTTATCACTTACTTGAGGATCATTAGCATAAACACTAGTGTTGATTACACATGAAAATTAAATTGTTCCGAGTAGTGTTTCCACATTATTTAAAAAGCAAAGTTTTAAGTGTTAAGCCCATAATTACAGTAATTATAAAGACAAGTTTTAGAAATGAAGCTGCTCCCTTGTTTAAAAACACAGATTTTCTATCAATTTTATTACCTCAACTTCAATTTAGTTTTACATCAACTAATGCAGAAATGTAGGTTAAAATTACACAACATGTTAAGTTAATGTAATTACCCACATCATTTACACCAACCCGAAAGACTGTTGGCAACTTAAAAGGTCTTAAAATTTGACATTTAGATTTTTAAAATCTTGCAACCAGATACTGTCGTCATCTAATGTATTCATACCCCTACCATTGAAGAAGGAAAAAAACATGGAGATAAGTTGAATTTTATAAATCATGACATTGCCTTTGAATTGTGGTTCAACAGAAGTATATATATAACAACAACCAAACAAGCATGATGGGACCCGTAAACTAACATTTTTGTTGAACAATCCTTTGAGCCAATCACTGTAATCAAATGTTTTCTGTAGCTCTCAATCAGACTTCTGCACCTGTTCACAGGTGTTTAGATTCTGGTCCACTGTTCATCAGCAAAGTGCTCTATTTTGTCCAGGACAGTTTTTTTGTGTGTTTTCTTCCCCCCTAACCACAATTCCAAACCAATGTCCCATTTCACTAAATTATAATTTAGCAAATTTGTATTTATTCTTACTTTCTTCAGTTTCTACTTATTTGAGTGACTATTGTGAATTTAGCCTTTTCTCTAATGGGAGGGGATGGATGCATTTGAGTGTTCAATTAGGTGGTGGGAATATTACTCTTTATCTACTTATTGGAGTGTACTTATTTATAAAGCATTCGTTAAAGGTTTGTTAAATATTAAAGCTGTTTTATATCTTGTTAGAAAGCAGCACAACATGTTCTACCAGCGTTCAGAGCTCTACAAGCCTAAAGGAAAGTAACTATCGCTGTTCATTTCTCTGTTTGTAGGTCGCCAGACTTCCTGTTTAGCTCATGCTTCTCTCATATGGCTCTAACATGTACCTCAAAGTCTAGTGAAAGTTTCGTGTCACCCACAGGGTGGATGGGTATGAGATGCCCCACCTTGCTGCCAGCTCCAGCTGACTGTGCCGCTCTGTGGCCGCTCCTCAGTGCAGTGCGCGTCTTGGACACGGCGCTGCGCTCTCGGCGCTTCGCCGCTCAGCTCGTCTGAAAGCTCACCCCGCCCTCCCTCCCTCCCTACATCTCCATCTCAATCTCAGCCAGCGCCGAAACCGCACAACAAGAGCAGAGGACGTTCATTCGTGTCTGTGATAGTGACCGAGGCCGTTCCTTCGCCCCCTTTCCTCGGCCGGGACACCGACCTCTCCGACTGATCAGCGGCGGAGTTGCGCACCGCTCATCCCGTTCGCCCGCCAGCAGCTCCGCGTCGTGCCGCTCCGCTCCGCGCCGGGTCGGTCCGGTCGCTTCCTCCTCCTCCTTCTCCTCCTCCTCCCTTTGGAGAGCAGGTTATTCCCTGGAAGCTGGATGAATTATTGGAGAGTTGTGAACAAGTGCGAGAAGAACGCTGAGGCTCGGGATCTGCCTCCTCGCTCCGTCCAGGGAAGACAAGACTCAGCCAGAGTTGTGGACGATAATGGAGGGGACGTCCCTGTATCTTCCTATTGTTATTTTACTGATGCAATGTAAGTGGAAAATGGAAACTATTCATCCAGAAGAACTCCCTCTTTCTCTCTCTCTCTCTCTCTGTGTGCTTGTGTTTATCTACTTTTCTCCATGAGGATAAAGCTCAGGATAGAAATCAAGTAGTGGAGAGCGGCTTTAGTGTAACTGAACTGATTCTGCTCCTTGATTTCTATTTAATGTCATTAAAATGTTTGCTTATTTACTGCCATTTAATCTGATGCTGTGGACTTGATTTTTTTTAAACAAGTGATGAGTGTAGAGAGATTCTTTCCAAAGTATTTTTTTGCTGGAAACATGAGTGTGTCATGGGGTTCTTGGTGGCACAGTTACAAATGTTAGTGTTTGATATAAAAGGATTCAGGAGTTGTTTGTTCACAGGTCCCTGGTTCAGTTAAAGCCCCTCTCTGAGCGGCGGTGCTGCCAGGCTGGGTTCCTACAAGTTGGCCCCAAAGTTGCACATTGGCCGGGTGCCACCTCAGGGTGTGGGTAGCACGGCGGTGGCGGGAGGGCAGCCGCTTTGGCAGAAGAGGTGGCAGATCTGTGCATGAGGTCAGCGGTTGGATTAGCACCAGAAACCTCCAGCCGCTTTTCCTTGTGACATGGTGTTTTCTAGTATGTCACCAGGAGACTGGGAGCGGAAAACAGGAAAGTGGAAGTGAATCTCGAAATAGGAGAAAGCTCCACCTGATTATCCTGCATGGATGGAAAGAAAAAAAAAGAGAGGTAGAGCTGTGTTGGGACTTGCAGCAGTGTGAGATGGATGTGATGAGACAGTGAGAGGGAGTGACGCATATTTTACTCGGTGTTGTCCACATTTTGCCACCTGTCAGGCCACGGGGTCACGAGTTCACAGTGTGTGTGACAATGTGACAGAAATCACTCATCACCTGGCCCACTGATAGTCAGTTCAACAGAGCAGCGTCACATGTGCCACAGTCCTGCCTGCCTGCGGATTGTGTTGTTTTTATAAAAGAAAAAAAATCAGAAAGGAAATGTTTGGGTGGGTCTCTGTGGCAGGAGACCCAACATCCCCCATATCAGCCTCTCCCTCCCGCACACACTCAGTGTCTGACCGAGACAGCTGTTGCTCACAGTGTTACAGTCATACAGGCAGGCTTTGTTCGAATAGAGAACACACACACACACACTCTTAACGCGCACACACTCTCACTGAGTCGCCGTCCTGTTTTTCCTCTGTCCCCCCTCAACAGCCTTGAAACGTGCGTTGCCATCCACATCCACCTTATCTGTATCTCGCAGCCAGACAGGATATTTCCTATGGGTCCATCTCCCTCCTTCTTTCATTTGTTCCCTGTTAATTTGAATAAGTGCCTTAATTATTACTGCGCCATGCTTTTGACCTCGGCACAGCCCTGGCAACACCCACCCCAGTCTTTGTAACACTCTGTACGGACCACGTAATGAGAGTAAAGCTGTGTGCCAAGGAGCGAGCGTGCCATCCTTCTATTTTTTGCTCAGGCAAGAGGGTGGCTGTCTCTTTGTGAGTTTAAGCTGTCGCAGTGTTTGGTTGATGTTGATGCCATGCACAAGGTGTGTGTGTGTGTATGTGTGTGTTCGTCATCCTGCTTGTCTGTGTCGATGCTATTGTTAGATGTTTCTGTACTTCAAAGCCACAACAGGCCCATAGCAGGAGCATTTTAATTACCACAGTGGCCGTATCTGATGCTATATTGGAGAACCACCAGAGACCTGCTGTTGTGATGCACATGAGAAACTTAAAGCAGCTTTTCCAGTTTCAGTTTGTGACTCACGCTTGTTAAATCGAGCTTTTTGATCTCGCAAATCAACTCTAACGCTGTGTGACTTGATTACACCACCAGTTTTGCTTCGGTTTGGGTCCAGCATGCTGACTCACTCCCGGTCTCCGGCACCGTGTAGATCGGTCTGACTGCCCCTCGTCATTGTTCTGCTGGCGTTTTTATATTTTCTTAAATGAGTCACAATCATCTCGGGTGGGACTAAAGAACAGGATGCAGTGATGGTGTTCAATCAAAGCTGCTGTAACCCAGTTATTTAGTAACAATGGACCGCAATCAGGAGGTTGCGGACAAACAGGAAACTGGAGAGTTGACAGTAGAACGGTCCGACTGCACCTCGTGATCATTCTGCCAGCTTGTTTGCATTTCCTCACACCAGTCTGCTTGGGTGGGACTAACAACAGGATACAGTGATGGTGTTCACTTAAAATAGCCATGAGGGAGTTGTTTTTGTGAAGCATTTGCATTCAAGGAGGGAAGCACACGTTCAAAATTGACTATTCTCAGCCCATCTGAGTCCATACTGCTGACATATTAACCAAATCTGGCAATCACCGGTAGAGCAGATTCAGGCTTTGATTGCTCCTTGTTGGGACAAGTTTTGGTTGCCAATGATGGTCATGTGCCACTAATGGGGGAAATTTTTCAATAAGTTTGCACTGCTAACCAAACCTGGCGTTTACACACAGTCCAGCTTTTTGGTAGACATTTAGCAGGAGTTCTTATTTCTTTTATTTTTGTTTGTTAAACCAGTCTTCCAACAATAATTACTAACCAACAGATGACCCGGCTGTTTAGTCAGATCTGCATCAGTCTGACTCACCAGATTTATCCTTTCCCTCCATTGTCTGTTTTCAAACTCCTTTTCACTACAGGAAGCAACAGCTTCCAAGCAGCAACCTGCACACTGACTGGTTTTGATCATGCAATAAAGCAGTACTGAGAGTTTTTTTCATGAATTATTTTTAATTGCAGGCTCGGCTCCCTGTATGCAAATCTTCCACCAAAACAAGTTCCTCCCGACACTATTTGGAGCAAACACCATCATTATGTCTTGTTCTGAGCCCCGTCCAAGATGATTCTGACTGGTTTAAGGAAACACAAACACACCAGAGCGTTATTCCTGCGATGGCAGCATGATGATGAGGTGCAGCCAGACCGTTCTGCACAGCTCTGTAGAGAACGGTCTGGTTATGCAAGACCTGCTCTGCATAACAGATTGAGATGTGAAGGAGGTGTGTGCATAATCTTCTACCCACAGCACCTATTTTCTGCATAAATTGAAACATTTCTACGTGTAGGATTCAGTCTTTGCATGTATGGTAGATTATGTTGTACATTTGGACGCCTCATGCATGTGATGCTCACGACTGTTTTGAATCCAGGCCTCACTGGGTTAACGCTCACACGCTGGCAGACGTTCATCTGTGTACTTGACTAAACCCTCTTGTTAACTTCTTGGACAGCAGAGCTGTAGAAAGCTACACCATGTTAACATTAGCCACCATGCAGTTTTGAAATGATCTGAAGAGGCCATGTGTTCATTGTCTGCCTCGACGCCTCCGTAGTTAATTGAGGCCATTGAAGCTGACAGTGTTCGTAGTAGTAGAGCACACAGCGAAGCACGACTCAGGGGCAGCGAGACCTCACATGCAGAGCCTCTTTGCTCATTTTTTGATGTGTGCACTTTTATGTGTGTGTATGTGTCACACACAGAAAAGCGCACTCAGTGCGGGCATGTTGTCAGCCCTGCTACATTTCCTTTTTCTCAAAGAGACACCCTTCAAGGTGGCAGCAGGCCTGGTCTCACACTATGTGACAAGAGCTTCTTCCATTCACAGTCCTACTGTCTGAGAGGATCTCCCTCGCCTTCAATCCCACTCTCTCTTTTATTCATGCTTCTGCGGGTCTCTGGTCCCCCCTCCACCAACCTCCACCCGGTCCCCTCTCCGCCTCGCTCTCCTCACACTCCATTTGTATTCTATTCTTAGGGCCGCTCATCTCTCCTTGATCGTTCATTCTTGTCCCCTTTTAATCTTATTGTATCTCCCTCCCTCGTCTTGTTCATCCTTTAGTGAGACAATGCTCCTCCGAGGGTGTCGAGGTACACAAGCCAAAGCTACGACGGTAATCCTGTTACACTGCTGCAAGTCCACACATGGTTGAAGGGAGGAGGAGAGAGTCTGGAGGGAGAGCGTGCACTTTTAATTCACTTAGGTCAAAGTTTGACCAAGTGGAGCTCATGTAAATTGTGCCAACTTCAGGAAAGGCTTTTAAAGAGCGTGAGCGTGCTTTATGCTGCGTTTGGCAGATGACATTATTATTGTATAGGCTGCTGTGTATTTAAAAGCTACGTTAAAAATAGCCGTTGTTGTGAAAATTGAAATGTGCGAGACCTTTAGTCTACATATAGACTGAATAGTTGGTTTGTATAGCTATCCAACATGGCCATCATCCTGTTTTATTCCACACTTCCGGCTCTTTGTCTCAGCTCGCTTTGCATTCTTCTTCGTCACCCCTCCCTTTAGAGGGGAAACCTTCTGTAACCCAGTCATTTAGTAACAATGGACCTCACACAGGAGGTTGCGGACAAACAGGAAACCGGAGAATTGACAGTAATTTGTTTTTGTTCGAATTGCGTTGCAGGAAGACGTGTGTGTGTGTGTGCACTGTGGCGACTTACTGAGCTTTCAAGAATATACGAAGGTCTTCATTATGTCAAATTACAAGTTTGTTAGAAGTTTTTCAAAGCCCTTAATGTTCAGAGTAAGTACCCCAGAGGCCCATTCAACATTTATTATGTCATTTCAAAAATGCATGGCCTTCAGTCTGAAAATCTTTTCTTAATTTGCTGCCTTTTGGGAGCCTCTCATGCTGAACGTGTTCACTGTTCTCGCTGTGTGCATGTTTTTCCCCTCAGGTAACCTTCACCCACATTTAACCTCAATTTATTAGCAAGACAAACAGACTGTAATCTTCCCCACAGACCAATCAGCGCACAGGAAAAGCAGCCGCTGCTTCCTCTTCCTGTTTGGATGCGGGGTATCAGTGACACACAGATGGCGGGAGAACCAAACACAGACAGCGTGTTGTCCGCCTCCAGTTAATGCCCTCCATACATCAGGTTAAATCTGGAGCAGCCACTGGTGAGAGATGCTCGGCGACCTTGTTCGAACTTGCGTTTAAATAAACATACGGCAGGCTACTCCTTAACCCCGCAGGATTAAAGCAGAGGGGGGAGTAATCCTGTCTTTACCTCAGATCTCCTGGAGAAAGCCGAATGCCGTCTTCGCCTCAGACACTAGAGCGAGAGACCGAAGACGGCCATTAAGCATTCTCCTCTTGCAAGTTGGCGGGCGACGCCGGAGCACTTTACCCAATTCACCTTGCCCCCTAATGGATGACGAGCGATATTACATTCTGAACTCCTCTCACCCGTCCTTTTTCTTCTCTCTCCCCCTCCACCACCACCACCACCAGGTTCTCCCTCCGTTCCCGTCACCGTGTCGACCAACAGACATAAGGTGGAGGTGCGCGAGCACTCAGGTGAGGCAGAAAAAAAACAAGAAGCATCCACCTCCTTTCACATTTCCTTCTATCAGATCCTCCCTGACAGAATAAACCATGAGGGCCTATAAATAGACCAAGCAGTTAAAAATGCCACTGATCCTTTGCTACTCTGGAATAAATATCTCATTGGTCACACTCCCTCTTTTAGACGCTGTGCTGTCCTGCATGTTCCGCACAGAGAAAGACCAGAACCCACGCATCGAGTGGAAGAAAAAGGGGAAAGACGTCTCCTTTGTGTACTATAACGGACACTTCAGAGGTGAGAAAGCAGCCTCTTCTAACCCTCTTGATGACAAACAGGGCATTTGTTTTAATCAGCTTGCAGCATTAGCTGGAAAGGTTGTGCCCCGTGAGTCGAGAGAAAACACTTGAGTACGGTGAGAAAGGAATGATGGATAAACCGTGAGATACCTCGGCGTGCTCTGTGTGTCAGTGGTGTCGAGGCATAAAATCTTAACCTGTCTCTTGTCCTCAATCTCTCATCGTCGTGCTTCAAGATGTGAATTTAATGGGCGAAATAAATAATGAATCATACAGTAGCTTCCACCAGGTCGGTCGTTTTTATAGACGCCGCAGTTAGCTTGACAATTTCCTCAAATATGTCGAGGCTTTGAAATGCCTCTGACCCATCGCCTCCTCTTCATTGGCCGCTTTACAGCCGGAGCTACTTTAAAATGTGACATGAATAGTGACTGCTTTCATAATGTTTCCTAGAAAGAGCTGCTGCAGCTTGTATATTCATGAAAAGTCCTGCCACTGAAATCTACCCCTCTCCACACACGGGCTGGATTAACAGATTTCAGGCTTTGAGATAACAAATTAGCTGTAATGTTTGTTATCTATCAAAGATTTGCAGCCTCAAAGTTGCCATTGAACGTGTTTACAGTGCAGACTGAGGCTAACGGGCCCCTGGAGGTCTCAGGCTTTGGCCAGCTGGGGATCCAGCCTCTCTGATATCAGCCTTTTCATATTGTGATGTGTAAACTACATAACTTCAGAGCTTTTGAACTTAATAGTTTAATCCCTGATAAAAAAAAATATATTATCAATTAATTTATCGGTTTTGAGAAATTAAATGTCATTATTGGAAATGTAAGAGGGTCTTTAAGTTCCTAAAAGCCGACAATTAGGGTCACTAAAACAAACTTAAGTACTGACTTTTTTTTCTCACAGAATTCTGAGTTTAAGTGAGAATTCAGAATTGAAAATCTGAATCTTAAGTGTTAAAGTCAGAATTAAGACTTTAAAGTTAGTATTCAGAGTTTTAAGTGAGAATTCAGAGTTTAAAATACAAATTCAGAGAAAAAAAAGTTTGAATTTATAGAAAGAAATAAGTCAGAACTAAATTGGGGGTATGAAGTCAGGATTTCAACTTTGAAAGTCAGAATTTTGAGTTTAAAGTCAGAATGCATTCTCACAGAAGAGTTTCAAGAAGAAAGTAAGAATTTCAAGAAAAAATAAGAATCTGGAGTTCAAAATGATGAATTCTGAGTTTAAAGTCAGAGTTTTGGTTTCAAAGACAGAACTCAGGGTTTAAAAGCAGAATTCTGAGTTTAAAGGTGAGAATTCAGAATTGAAAGTCAAAGTCTAAAGCTTTAAAGTCAGAATTAAGATTTTAAAGTTTTATGAGTTTAAAATCCAAATTTAGAGAAAAAAAAGTTTTGAATTTAGAGAAAGAAGTAAGTCAGAATTATGAGGAAAAAAATGTCTAAATTGGGTGTATAAAGACAGGATTTGGAGTTTTTATATCATGATTTTGAGTTTAAAGTCAAAATGTAGGCGGCATTCTCGCATAAGAATTTCAAGAAGAAAATGCGTCAAAATCTGGGGTTTAAAATGATGAATTCTGAGTTTAATGTCAGAGTTTTGTTTTCAAAGTCAGAATTCAAGGTGTAAAAGCAGAATTCTGAGTTTAAAAGTCACAATTCCGAGATTAAAGTTGGAATTTGGCAGAAAAACTCATATTTTCTGCAGTTTCTGCAATAATCTTCTTCTGTTCTTGTTTCAAGGTTCGTAGCACGTCCAGGATAACTTGTTGACTCGGCTAAAACCCGACTAACCTAAGCTGAGCTATTCCCAGTACCTTAAACTCACACATTCACTGATACGTTCACATGTTGGGTTTACACTGGTGAACACATTTTTGTATTCCACATTTCTCTGGCTAAATTTTGGCACAGATTTAGGAAGCAACGTCAGTATGAACATTTGATATTTATTTTACTCCTGATTTATATTAGATAATGAATTCAAAAGCTGCTAAAGATGATGTGAAATCTGCATGTTGCTGTTTTATTTTTAGCTGTATGTAATGTAGATCATGTATAATCACAGGCAGACAGTGACTGTAGCCCTCAGCCATGGAAGACATTTCCTCTCTCTGACCTGCTGCTCTTTCTCTCAGTTCCCTTCGAGGGCCGAGCGAGCATCGACGGGGCGACGGTGACGCTACACAAGGTGACCCAGGAAGATGCTGGAGAGTACCGATGTGAAATCAGTGCTCCTCTGGACTCGGTCAGCCTGGGAGAGACCAACGTCACGCTCAAAGTCCTGGGTACAAGTGGCTTCAGTGTACTGTTATCAACCAAACAAGAAACAAAACCAAAGATTCTGCTTTGCATCCTGTTATGGCTAAATAAGAGGAATCATCTTTATCTGTTGTGACGAGCTGCACTGACATGTTGTAAATAGGCTTATGTTTCTGTAACTCTCACCCTCTCAGTGCCCCCACAAACCCCGACCTGCGACATCCCCAGTGCAGCGGTGACGGGCTCAGTGGTGCAACTGCGCTGTCAGGACCAGCAGAGCATCCCACCTGCAACATACTCCTGGTTCAAGGACAACCAGCCAATCAGCCCACCCCGTCACGCTAATGCCACCTATCTAATCAACTCACACACTGGAGTGCTGGTGAGAGCGTGCGCATGCAGATAAAGCAACAAGGGGCTGGAGTGTGTGTGTTGGGAGATATTTTACACTGTCTCCTTCTCGTATCATGGCTGATTAGTCGACAATAGAGATGCTTCTGTTGTTGCTCAAGGACACTTCAGCAGAACAGATGGGGTGTTAGTAATTCTAACCTTTCTAATTTTCCTGGTTGCAGGAGTTTAAAGCTGTAGCCAAAGAGGACACCGGCCGCTACAGCTGCCTGGCTTCAAACGGAGTGGGATCGCCCAAGATGTGCGAGGGCAAGCACATGACGATAGGTGTGTTTGTGTGTTTCCGCACTTCCTCCTGCCTCTTCCCCCCCACCCCCCCCACACCTTTCAGCGCCGGACAAAATCAAGGAAGCAGTGGAGAGGAAATGCCCACTAAATCTACTTCATCCTGCTTCTACTGTCTGAAACATCCTTCAGTCTAACTTACAGTCTCAGAGGATACTGTATCCATTTTGGGATGCACTACCTGGTTTAAAATTGATGCTGTTTATATTATTTATTTGCTCGGCTTGGCGATAAATTATATAAAGTCGTCTGTGTTGTGCACTTAATAAATTATGGGAAGTAATACTGGAGTGAAGGAAAACACTCGATCATTTTCGGTGACGTTTGAGAGACTTTAATAAACCAGCAGCTCATGAGTGTTTATTTCCACTTCCAGAGGACGTGAACGTCACGGCGGTGGTGGCGGCCGTGGTGGTGGTCTGCCTGCTCGTCGTCATCTGCGGCTGCGGGGGTTTCCTCTTGCACCGGAACGGCTTCTTCACCCGTGAGTTCGTCCCTTCGGTTCACTCGTTTGACTTCGTACAAACAGTCGCTTCAATTAATAGATATTGGTTTTATTCACTCCAAAAAAAAGAAAAGATTGACATTCACTCTGTTTTCTCTCTCCCTGACTCATCCATCAGCAGGACACAGAGGAAGGTAAGAGCTTTGTGATTGCATTAACATTGATGTGAACAAACACAGGCTAATACGCTACACACTGAGGAGTGAGTGAGTGAGAGGAGGGGGGGAAGGTGGGAGGATTGTTGTTGCACTTAGACAGCGTGTCTGCATCTGTGTGCTGACTCAGGACTGTGGAATGACAGCTGTGGCCGTGTGTGTTTTCGAGCCACAGCAGTGCCTGCGTTTCAACTTGTTCGGTGATTGGCGCAAACAGATGTAAAAAACCGTGGGGGAAAGTTTTCGCCTGTCGTTTGACTGGATTCTGCAAATGGATTTCCACTTTAAGGCAGATATACATCTCGTGGAATGTCAAAATGAAGCCAGATAGATAAAAAAAAAAGGAGGAGAAACAATCAGTGCAACATAATTATGGAATAATTACTGGCTGTTAATCAGCAAGGAGGAAAATATTGGCAGGCATAAGAATCGCAGGCAATTAAACTGATTGGATGGTTAATCTGGCGTAGATTATATAGATACTGAGGAGGGAGACTGGTGTGTTTGCAGGGCAGTTACAGTCCTCTGATGCACTACAGAGTGGGCGGAAAGAAGGTCTGGATGCCCGGCTGGCTGTTGAGCCAGAAACCACAAAGACGTAAATGCATGTCCTCACGTGTCCGGCCTAATGCTTGACTTTGTTATTTGATTACTGGCTTGTTACTGCTCGGAGTTTGATGGAGAGTCAGCATCGAGCTTCTCCTTGAAGCTGATGCGAAAGCTCTTTGTCTAGGTTAAAGTCTGATGCTTATCCCACTGAGCTAACTGGAGCTGTCAGTGTCAACTTCCTATTTATAGAACAGGCTTCTTCACAAAGACTCAAAGACAATGTGACATGATTTCTGATGCACCAATACCAGGCACAAATTTCCAGAGTGGCAATGCGGATCCATGATGCAGCTCTGCCTTTAAGAGACAAACGGTCCCGAGAGGAGCTGGTTTCATGGATGATTGTTATGTCGTGCCAAAGACCGGTTTTCGCTTGTCTGTGGAGATGATGTTTGGTTGAACACAGGAGGATTTGGACTGTTTGTCACTGAGCGTTAGGATGCTGAACCAAAACAGTGTTATTGAACGACACATGTAGCTGTTCATGTCCTCTAAATGAGTTGATATTCATAGCCTCCTTTGCTATAGTTACATATAGTAGCTAGTAATTTATATTCCTTCTGAGCTGTTGTAGGAAACAGAAGCCAAAATTGCAAAAATCACTACGACTATATATTAGAGCTGAACTATTTGGGGAAAATCAAAATCAATGTTGGAGCATTATTAGATGACATAACATCAAAATATTAACGGTTATTCCATCTTAAATCATCTGGTTCCTTCTGCCTGACCATGTGGGATTTGCTTAAATCAATTTCGTCATTATTTATGGATATTTAAAACAGAATCTGCGAAATTTTAGCTGATATATCAAATACTTTGAGATAAATTTTAAAAAACAATTTGTCCATCGACCGCTTCCAGCACGTTATTTTTGCACAAACTAAATTTGAATAACAATATCTCAGGAGCTAATAACAATAAAGCCTGAAATTTGAGGTTATTTCTCGTCATGCTATTAATTTAGAATCTGTAATATTGGGAATTAAATAATTTATTATACGCGAGCCGAACTATAAAAAAAAAAAGATTCGAAGCGGCCATGAAAACTCCCATCATTAGAAAAAAAAAATAATACAGAAGTCAGGTCGTGATATTTTCTTAACTATATGTAGCTGCAGGGCACAGTAATACATGATGAAACAGAATGATTTTAAACATGAAATACTTCACAAAAATGGGAAAAAAGTTGTTTTTGTTGAACTTTCATAAGGTTTATTCCACCTCAGATGGAACAACGTTATCGGATTGGGTTGAAAAAATGTTGGGATGGAAGTTTATCATCAAGATGGCACAATACCAAGTTTTAGGGTCAGAACTGATGGTTTTGCTACAAAAATAATGAAAAAATTGTGTAATTTTTGCCAAATTCATGACGAGACCCTGACTTTGGATGACAATATCTCAAGAAGTATTTAAGCGACAGATTTAAAATCTGAAAACACATTTCCCCGATAGTGGAGGTGTTTAAATCCTGCGTTACAAAAAAATCAAATTGGGATCTTTTTTTCAGTTTTGCTGGACAATTTTTTTTAAAGAAATTGAAGTGTGTGAAATGAAAGCGAGCTAATTTCCACCTGCAGAGAAGTTAATGTTACCAACTAATGTAGGAGGAGAAAGAAAACCATTTAGCTGTAGGTGTGCTCGTACCTGCACCAGAGAGTCATCTGATGTTAGTAAATCTGGTTGTAATGTGTCATCAGCGTCCAAACTGTAGCTTCGCCCAGCTGTAGCTGTTGGAGCATTGATTTGCAGATGACATGACAGACTGGTACCCAGCATATACAGTTGTGCACATAAGTTTACATACTCTGGTAGAATTTGTTTTTTTGTCTATTTTTCAGAGAATATAAATGATAAGAGAGAAACTTTATTCTCCACTCATGGTTAGGGGTTGGGTGAAGCCATTTATTGTCAAACAACTGTTTTTTGTCTTTTTACATCATAATGACAACAGAAACTACCCAAATGACCCTGATCAAAACCTTACCTACCCTGGTGGTTTTGGCCTGATAACATGCACATCTGTTTGCGTGTAATCATTGTGTCTGTATCAAAGGTCAGTTAGGTTCTGGGCTCCTCACAGACCCTTGCACTGACGCTTCTGGATTCTGAGTCATGAGGAAAGCAAAAGATCTGTCAAAGGATCTGCGGAAAAAGGTAGCTGAACTGTACAAAACCGGGAAGGAAATCCAAGGAATTGAGAATGCAAATCAGCAGTGTTCAAACTCTAACAAGTGGAAAATGGGGGATTCTGTTGATACCAAAGGAGACCAACAAACATTTCAGCCAGGAAAATTGTTCAGGATGCAAAGAAAAACCCACAAATAACTTCAGCTGGAATGCAGGACTCTCTGGAACAAAGTCATTTGGAGTGATGGGACCAAAATTTTGACCACAACCTTAAACGTTACATATGGAGAGGAGTCAACGGTACACCATTCCTACTGTGAAACACAGAGGTGGATGTTTTGAGGATGTGTGAGCAACAAAGGCACAGGAAACTTGGTCAAAACTTGATGGCAAGATGAATGCAGCAGAAAATACTGGAGGAAAATTTGCACTCATCAGCTTGGACATGCTTGGACGTTCCAACATGACAAGGATCCAAAACACAAGCCAAGTGGACCTCGTTGGCTACAGCAGAATAAAGTGAAGGTTCTGGAGTGGCCATCTCAGTCTCCTGACCTCAGTATCATTGAGCCACTCTGGGGAGATCTCAAACGTGCAGCTCATGTAAGACAGCCCAGGAATTTAAATGGAACTGGAGGCTTTTTGCTAAGAGGAATGGGCAGCTTTACCATCAGAGAACATAAAGAGCCTCATCCACAACGACCACAAAAGACTAAAGGGTGCCCATTAAGAACAAGGGTATGTGAACTGTTGATCAGGGTCATTTGGGTAGTTTCTGTTGTCATTATGATTTAGAAAGAGTAAAGACAAATGTTTGACAATACATGGCTTCACTCAACCACTGACCATGAGTGGGGAAAAAAAGTTTTTGTCTTATCGTTCATATTCTTTGAAAAGTGGCCAAAAAAATCACAAATTCTGCCAGCGTATGTAAACTAATGAGCACACGACCTTGAGGGTCCACTGCTACATCGTGCTCATGTTCAGATGTTGCCTGAACACTTCCAACCCACCACTGTCCATCGTAAAGGCAGGCAGCATATTCACCTGGCGTCAGGTGAAATAAGCTGTAACCAGATAAGACAGTGACCCATGTACAAGGCTAGAGTCACCAACGCCGTGGTCCATCTCCCCATGTTTACCTGTCTCGCTTCACTGTTCTGTCTGAATAAAGGCAAAAGCCCATAAAAGCAAAATAATTTAGAAATAAGCTGTAAGCAGATGAAGCATATATGGGGACTAAATGTGACCAAGAACCGTGATCATCCCAGGTGCCAGGGACAGTCTGTGAGGATGTAAATCTTTCAGTTAACTTTTAGGCCGTGGACAAAACGGTCTCTTTTGTGCTCCATATTAAATGGATGCCACTAATATTTGTTGTCACCCAGGTCAACAAATGTGCAGGCGTTAGAATTTGTTTTCAGGCTTGCTCTTGCAGCACACCTCATGACTGTTCCACCAGTTCAATCACATGCTGACTTGCTGGTGCAGTTCTAGTGGTGCCAAAAATGTAAACTTTCTTCCTAAAATTTGTGTAGTCCAGATTGAATGCACGTCCATTTGAGCATAAACCCAAAAAATCCATTTTTGTATACTTGTGACATTACCAGATCAATCAAAACAAAACTTTCTCACACTGTGGCCAGCTGGAATCTGACAAAAGCTTTTTGCAGATTAGCTAATTTGTGTTACATAACTGTATAGACAATTAGTTTATATATTGAAAAAAAAAAAATATATATATATGCTTTTTGTTAATTACTTTACATGGATATTTGTGTCTCAGCGGCCAAATAAAGTGCATAAGGGAATTTTATTTATTTTTTGCAAAAACCATAATTGAATTAAAATGTTTAGAATCAACAATTCAAAAATGTCTCCAGCAAAACTGACAAATGATCCCAATTTGAATTTTTTTACTATGACAAGTTAGGAGCATTCTCCTTCAAAAGACTTCCATTATGTGTTGGTCTGACCTACAATTCATGGCAATTGGTGTGTATAGTTGAGTACAATTATACCATTTTAGAGGTTCAATATCTGAGAGGCTGTGTGTGTCATCTTCATGAAATTAGGTATATTGAAACTGTTCAAAATTTTAGTGAGACAATGTAAAGATATAAACTGTTTCCAGCATTTATTTGTTGCAATTTTAAAATGGATTAGAGGATTAGCTATCACAAAAGCTGTTACTATTATTTTTTATTTTTGTTAGTAAATAAAAAATACAAAAATTC